GGTCAAGTCAAAGATGGGTAAGAAGAGCTTGTGAACTTTTCCTATGGGGTATACATGTGGGTTCAACTGATATTTAAACATATCGGTTTCTTCAATCCGCGCACTCAATGCCAGGGTGGCACCAGCTGTTTGTGGTTGAAAGTATGGTGAATTTAACGATTGAATTTGCAAATGTTGTAGAGCTTGGTGTCTTATGGCAATTTGTAATCTTCAATCGCCCTGCTATGAGTGTTTCTTTTGGCAATTGGCAACATGCCATGGCTCGGCAATCCCTGGATATCCCCGATGCCTCGTCCCAGCTGAAAAAGTTGTTTCGATGCACCGGCACAACACCTGCAGGGGCATTGACCACATACAGCTTGCTTCAACTGCTTCGTGGGGTTCGGCCCGAAGTTGGGAAAGGTGGCAATTTGACACTTTGCCATTTATGCTTGGCTCCAGATCAGCGGGAGTACAGGGGTGTATCTTAGGATATGATATGTTAGTCCCAAAGATACTCGAATTGCTCCCAAAAAAACGTTGATGGCACAAGGAAATACAATTGCCATTCTTAGATTCCCACTGTTTAGCCATGAATCCAAAGAAGCTGCTTCCGATCCTGCTTGTCCTCTCCAACATCCCTTTGCCATCACCGGAGGGAGCTTGTGATTTTGCAATCTAGCTGAATTAGCAATAAGATTTTATGGAACCAAAAGACTTTGTTTTTCCACTATAGATTGGCTTCCCAAGGTCACCACCATGATCTTATTGGGTTAAGGTAGAAGTTTGCAGTGGAGAAGGACAATTGAGTCGGGCACTGTGGGCTCACGGATATGCAGGAAAAGCTTTCGATGATACTTGGCAAATGCTTTGGGGTGTCCCAACCAATAGTATCAATGGGGGTTCAATATGTTCGACCGATTACTTGGTATTAGATCCCTGCATGTGTGCCACCCGACCCAGATCAACTACAGCGCGAACCACGACTTGCTCCGAACAGTGGGATTCCTGGCAGTATTGGCTGCTGCATCTTGGCCAACAGGGTTGAGATGGGAGGCTGTCACATGGAAAGCTGCCATCTCTTCAAGCTCTTTTCCACGGGGTAGACATGTCATCCAAGCCCACGCTCAATACAGTGGGTGAGTTGGTGCATATTGACTGTCCAGACTGTCTAGCCAGATTCCTTTCGATACTTGTCCACGATGTTGATTCTCCGTAATTAATGTGCTTAGGTCAGAAACTGCCGGGTTGGTTCTCTACTTTTCTTTGCACCTCCATGCAGTACATGGGTATTCCTGATGCCTGTCAGAATTAATTACAGAAAAGTTGTTTGATTCATGTGGTAGGAGGTCCAAAACCGGGATCCCAATGCTACCACCTCAGGAGTTCACCATCTACTGGAAGGACATGGCTGAATCCAGCCGGTCGCCCAACCAAAAAGGTGACTCTTGCAAATATATTTGTAATGCGTATGCTATACATGCTCCTTGGCCAAGTCATGACAATCAATTGAGATCGGATCAGTCAGATTCAATGCATATGCAATTATTTCAAAATCTGCTTGTTCTTCATGCACCTTGTGTCTCTAAGACTATGGTATGCATACGAACGTGGCGTGCATTTCTTAATTGAACAGCCGCTGACGTCAGTGCCCCCGAAGTTTGATTTCAAGTTTCTGTTTCAGTTTGATCTATGCATTGTTCATGAGAGAATTTATAGGTACTCTTTGACTGGGAGCCTGTGAAGAAATTCCTCGCCCATGTCGGAGCCAGGAGTGAATTTTAGTTTTTACTTGTTATTGAAGGAATCCTAGTGGAATCCTAAAACATGTTGATTGAAACATTGTCCACCACTGGCAGGAAAGTAACATTTCCTATGGGATCTTACGGCAGTCCAACCATGAAGTATACAACGCTCCTGGTCTCAATTATCAATTCCTTTCGGAAGGGCATCGGGGGTTACTTGGTCTCTTTCCCTTTCCCCTGTCTGAAACTGTCTCAGGATTTGGGGAACACTACCCAATATCGGCAGCCTTCGACTGCCCCTGGATGTGAAGCAGTTGAAAGCAGCCTTGGCAAGGAGACTGGGGGTGATAAATACTACGTCTTTGTCGAAGTAATTGAGCTTTGTCACAAAACCATGAACTGATTTAAGAAATCAAGTTGTTTTTGAATGGCAGGATTGATGCCTATCAAGAATATCATGGCTATTGTATATAACCCAATGGGTGTGACCTGTTCCCTGGAGAACCCACACTCCGCTGGTGAAGAAATCGTTGGACAAGAACGGCAAGAAACGTGTGGCTACTGGTTAGCACTTCAAAGGTTCCTGTCAATGTGGTAAAAATTGCCAAGACAATAAATTGTTATATTTTTGATTGACTGCAATTTTACAAAAGATATCACGTGGTGTATGCCTTAGCAATTGTGGATGCAGGGAATAAATGATCACCATAATTGGGGTTAACTTGTCCCAGTGGCCTTTTCCCGTAGTGCGCTGCTCTTGCCACTGCCTAGGCGGGCATCAAGAAGGCACTTTCTCAAAGTGCTGTGTATCCCCGTGGCTTTGGGAATGCTGTGGCGTCCCTCTTGCAGCCGACACGTCACCGTGCTACTGGTGATGTTGATACTCGTGCCTACTATCCAAGTGGGAATGATTTGGGTGCATTAGACGACCTCCTAAAGGGTGGTCGCCACACTTGGTGGCGAAATGTGGGTTCAGGGTGATGGATGGGTGATGAAATTGATAGTAACTATAAGTTTCCAAGGGGTATTGGAAGTTAATTCAGCCATAGACCCATCACCTGACGACCCACATGGATGAAGAACTTGGAACGGTGGCAAAAAAAGTTGAAACTATCATGACCGATACTTTTCACTTGACATAATTTGGCTTCAGCATGGTTACCCAATTTAACTGCAGTATTGTGGCTACAGCGCTTGGGGTAATTGCTTTACGTTCCAAACATGCCACACAAGTTAGTTGCCCTTCTCGAAGCTATGAAATATGACCGGCTATGTCTTTGCTGTTGGATGGGACCAACTTCAAATTGGCTCGAAAGGACCCCCAAACCAAATGGTTCGGGTTTGATACAATTTTTGTTTCACAACCACCATGGGCATGATAACACTACCTATCCTCCCGCAGGACTGACCAAATGAATCTGAAAGCGATTTGTCGAGATTGCAAGTGTGAGGATCTAGCCATAGTTGCCGAACTGGCAGATGAGAAGAGGCTTCAGGATGAAGCAAAGGTGGATCTGAAACTAGGACACCAAAGGGACCATGAGGAACCCAAACCCTGAGTCACCGTATGATCAAAAAGTGCTTTTCGGCACTTGCATTTTACAATTAGGTCAAATTAGATACCCAGGATTTGCACTTCCGGGAGTCCTGGTCAATGGAAGATAACTATGGATACTTTCTCTCGATAAAGAATTGAAATTATAGATTAATCTTTTGTTTTTGATTTTCAGAATGTGCACCCGGAAGCATCACTGATAGGGCTCCATGCCTGAAATCCAGAGTAGAGCACAGGACCTGTGCCAGGCGAAAACGTAGGCACTTAGCGCGTGTCAATGCGTGTCATTCGCGTGTCACTGGTTCCAGTAGGTGATGCCCATTTGAGGGTACTTAGAAACGTGTCATGACAAGTGCCTACCATTGGAGGGTACTTAGAAACGTGTCATGACAAGTGACCACCATTTGAGGGTACTTAGAAACGTGTCGATACTGAAACTTTGGTACCACAGCGTGTCAAAACGTGTCGTTTTTTTCACTACCTTAGGATTTTTACCATTTTCAGATTTTACAAAATGAGCTACCTCCAAAACTCTATTGCCCCAAAATGGAATATCTATTTTTCCTTCGTTTTAAAGGGTCACCTTCGTTTTACAAGGGTTTCGACCAAACCTTCACAGATATACGTGCGATATCGCGCAGTCATCATTTCGAGCTAATGGCAGCAGCAATGGCTAAAGTTATAAAAAACAGTGCCAGGATGTGCTAGGATTAGTACTGTGACTCGTAGAAGCGACAAAGGTGCTAGAGTAGCAGTAGCACTGGAGTAGCAGTAGCAGTGGCAGGAGCAGTGGCAGTAGCAGTGGCAGTAGCAGCAGCAGTAGCAGTAGCAGCAGCAGTGGCAGCAGCAAGTGACAGCAGTGACAGCAGCGACAGCAGCGACAGCAATGACAGCAGTCACAGCAAGTCACAGCAAGTCACAGCAAGTCACAGCAAGTCACAGCAAGTCACAGCAGCAGCTACCAGCACCAGCACCATCAGCATCAGCATCAGCAGCAGCTGCATCAGCAGCAGCAGTAATCGCGGTGATGCCGGCGCTGTTGGTGCTTTGCTGGTGCTGGTAAGACAAATGCCTGCAGCAAAAGCACAACTAGGCCCCGCAGTGGCAATGGTAGTGGTTGCAGTAGTAGCAGGATGGGGAAGAAGGTTTGCCTGCTCCTGGCCAAGGTTCATGCCAAGCTGCTTGTCGTGAATTTTGCCTTCGTTTTTGCCTTCGTTTTGGCTTCGTTCCAGAACGCAAAACCAGACGGGAAAACGAAACCGCCGGATAAAAAGAATACTTGCAGGCGGAAAGCAGAAACTTGACAAAATGTAAATGCAGTAGGAGGAAAACAAGATAGGAAAAAAACAAACGGGAACAACAGAAAGAAACGAAGACGGAAATGAAGCCAACAGAAACTGTCCCAGCAAAAGCCATGAACACAAGAAAGGAAACAAAAGGAAGACAAGGGAAAACAGGTAAAGACCAAACGACAATAACTCCATGATACACCATTCTTGACGTTCGCTTCTCAAATGGAAATCTATCAACAAACATTAGTTGTAAGGTTTGCCTTCGTTTTAAAGGGTCACCTTCGTTTTTGCAGGTTTTGAGCTATATTCCATTCCAATACATATCCCTTACATAGACCTTTTTAGTGGTAGCCCAAATTGTGTTCCTGCCATGGCTTCTTACCTTTCAAGAGCACTGTTTCCTCTTTCGTCTCTGTAGGGGGGTTCGCCATGACACCTGAAGCAGCTAGACGTTTGAGAAAGGCCAAGGCCACGTCGGTTCCAACAGCTGAGATGGTCCAATGGGAGAAGAGCAGGCAGGCGCTTGTGAAGCAAGTAGCTGAAGACGACGCAAGGAGGGCAAAGGAGAAAGACCTGTCCAAGGAATCGCAGGACGAGAAGGAGCAGGGTAAGGCAAAGCAGAAGGAAGATAAAGCGAAGACCAAAGTGCAGGCACCGAAGACCCAAGACCCTGGTGATGAGAAGGTGGCCAAGAAGATTGGCAAAGAGAAGACAAGCCCTGAGGAGAAGAAGACTGAGGAGCCCAGTTCAGACTCAGGCTTAAAGAAGAAAGGGAAAACAGAAAAGAAGAAAAATGATGAGGCAAAGCAGAAGCAAGTAGATAAGACACCGAAGACAAAAGACCCTGGTGATGAGAAGCTGGCCAAGAAGAATGGCAAAGAGAAGGCAAGCCCTGAGGAGAAGAAGACTGAGGAGCCCAGTGCAGGATCAGGCTTGAAGAAGAAGAAAGGGAAGACAGAAGAGAAGAAGGATGATGAGGCAAAGCAGAAGCAAGCAGGGAAGGCACCGAAGACAAAAGACCCTGGTGATGAGAAGGTGGCCAAGAAGAATGACAAAGAGAAGACAAGCCCGGAGCAGAAGAAGACTGAGGAACCCAGTTCAGACTCCGGCTTGAAGAAGAAGAAAAGGAAGACAGAGGAAAAGAAGGACGATGACGATGAGGCAAAGCAGAAGCAAGCAGAGAAGGCACCGAAGACAAAAGACCCTGGTGATGAGAAGCTGGCCAAGAAGAATGGCAAAGAGAAGGCAAGCCCTGAGGAGAAGAAGACTGAGGAGCCCAGTGCAGGATCAGGCTTGAAGAAGAAGAAAGGGAAGACAGAAGAGAAGAAGGATGATGAGGCAAAGCAGAAGCAAGCAGAGAAGGCACCGAAGACAAAAGACCCTGGTGATGAGAAGGTGGCCAAGAAGAATGACAAAGAGAAGACAAGCCCGGAGCAGAAGAAGACTGAGGAACCCAGTTCAGACTCCGGCTTGAAGAAGAAGAAAAGGAAGACAGAGGAACAGAAGGACGATGACGATGAGGCAAAGCAGAAGCAAGCAGAGAAGGCACCGAAGACAAAAGACCCTGGTGATGAGAAGCTGGCCAAGAAGAATGGCAAAGAGAAGGCAAGCCCTGAGGAGAAGAAGACTGAGGAGTCCAGTTCTGACTCAGGTTTGAAGAAGAAGAAAAGGAAGACAGAGGAGAAGAAGGACGATGACGATGAGGCAAAGCAGAAGCAAGCAGAGAAGGCACCGAAAACAAAAGACCCTGGTGATGAGAAGCTGGCCAAGAATAATGGCAAAGAGAAGAGAAGCCCTGAGGAGAAGAAGACCCAGGAGCCCAGTTCAGACTCAGGCTTGAAGAAGAAGAAAAGGAAGACAGAGGAGAAGAAGGACGATGACGATGAGGCAAAGCAGAAGCAAGCAGAGAAGGCACCAAAGACAAAAGACCCTGGTGATGAGAAGCTGGCCAAGAATAATGGCAAAGAGAAGAGAAGCCCTGAGGAGAAGAAGACCCAGGAGCCCAGTTCAGACTCAGGTTTGAAGAAGAAGAAAAGGAAGACAGAGGAGAAGAAGGAGGATGACGATGAGGCAAAGCAGAAGCAAGCAGAGAAGGCACCGAAGACAAGCCCGGAGGCAGAAGAGACCAAGGAAGATGACGGAAAACGTGGTTCAGAGTCCTGGAACCGAGCACACGCGATGCTGTTGCAGATGGAGGAAGATCGAAAGAAGACTCACCCGGTGACACCTCCCCAACACGTTGACAAGGAGAAGAAGAATGAGCAGAACTCAAATCAGCTGTTGAACCATGCCAAAAGTAAGGACAGCAATGGGTTAGGTTTTGTTTGTCAAATCGATAAAACCGATCAATTAAAAAATGATAAGATGAACTTAGTAAATGTGTTATTGCAACATTGTGGAAAACATGGCAGATCAACAGGGTGGATCCAAGGATAAATTTACCAAATATTGTTTACGGAACATATCCATTTACTTTCCGTAGGAGATGCTGCTGGAACATTCCTCAACCTGTCCCTCTTTGGAACCAGTGTCCCCTACTTCAACTCGGCGGCAACTGTCGTTCTCAGCGGAAGATGGCACTCCAGCTTCCCAGTGGCAAGATATTTTATGGAACACCCAAATAATAAGGAACCAATCATTTTTAATACCGAGACATTCCAATATATCCCAATCAATCCCAGCCAAACCAGTTGTTTTTCTTCTTTCTTCTCAACATTTATCAACTGAGGTTCCTTCTCCTACGACAACCTCTACGGCATCACCGACGGAGCGGCAGCCTCGCCAGCTCGCTCTTACTGAGGAGCAGAAGGCAAAGATTGCCTCGATGCAAAATCCCAAAGAGATGGAGTACTCGGACCCTAGTCAAATCATGTGTTCACATGTTACTGTCACCCAACTATTTCCCCCAAACATATGGTAGTAAGCTTAAACTGGTCGTACACCTCGTAGTTGGAGACTGGAGAGTGTTAGAGCTTGAATGGTTAATTGCCCTGCTGGTATGTCGAATTATCTTCTCATGATGGTTAGTAGGTTAACTGTTGATTATTCCCTTCCTAGGAGCGAAAGCGGCAGTACAGTGCAATGCGCAGGGCGATCTACCGCGAAGCGCCACCAGAGCTTGTCGCAAAATTCACCCTTTGTGGGGACCGTGAAAGGTTTCTATGGTTAATGAATCAATTTCATCCAATTTTATTTTCAGTCATCAATTCCTTGGATAGATTATACAACAAAAATCAACCAAACATTGGATAGGGGCTACGCGCAGCGCTCAGGTTTTCTATGCTGAAGCAGTGGGTGATGAACCAAAGCGTGGCCGACATAGATGTCGAAGAGAAATGGATTAACTGGGTGGCACAGTTGAGAACGGACCGTTACGTAACGGTTCCTTAACTATTGGGATTATCATTGTTTGAGCCCCATGAATCACTTTTATGTAACAGTTCCTTAACTATATTGGGATTATTACTGGTTACTGGTTGAGCGCAATGAATTATTTATATGTAAAAGTTCCTTAACTATCGGGATTATTTTTTGAGCCCCATGAAACATTTGTTGGTCATACGAAAACATTGACAAATCCATGCGAGGTTACAGAATTCCAGCTCGAGAAAATATATGGGAAGAGCTCTGATGCAAAGGCATTCATTGCCCAGTTGACCAAGGGTTACTTGGCATAGTTGTTATATGTTGTTTTATGTTATTCAAAAAACAATGACATGATACAATAAAAACACACAATGATAGAATACACATTACAAATCGCACCGGCCAGCTGAGGTCAGAAGGGGGTGCCCCACCCCCAGGCCATCCATGCCTGTTTCTTTGGCAGCTCTTGACCAAACGCAGTTGATCTTAGATGAAAACGTTTGTCGCCTCGGCAGGCGCCAGATGTCCGCAAAGCACGAATGTACAAAGTCTTGAAAGAGGTGGTAGAGGACAACCAGAAAGGTACCAAGAATGAAACCTCTGTACCATATCTATACATTATGCTTGGCTATCGAGTTGATCGATGTTGTGTTTTTTGTTTTTTTCTGAAAAATACATTGGCAATCTAAGGCATCCGTATCAGGCAGAGTACGTGATGCTGGTGCTAAAGGGCTCTTGGCAAAGCAGCTTCAGGGACTGGAGTTACCGGCCTTTCTGGATATGGCCACCGGAGCAATCAAAGTGAAAAAGGCAAAAAAGGTAAAGACTCCGGAGGAGGAAAGTATGGCAGAACTGAAAAAACTCGTGAAGAAGTGGTTTGCCTAGTTTTTTTGAAACTCATGATTACGAAATGGGAGACCCAATACCTCTGAACTGATGCAGTTAACTGGCGTCCTAGGTGCAAACAGATGGTCAATGAGATCCCGTTTTGCATCGACCAGTTGAAGGAATACGATGTGAGGTGCTCTAGTGAACTGGTGTCTTGGTGGTCATTGGGGTGATCAACCTATCACCCAACAGGTCATACGGTGGGTTGACTTTGAGGGCCACAACTTATCTTTGTAATATGTCGAAGTCATACTAGCCGAACACCTGTGGATTGTGACACCTGTAAGCAATTCATATCATCATAAATGACAACTGGCAACATCAATGTTTTATTTGAATTTGGTCTAGATCCCAAAAAACTGAAGTAAAACCTTCTAACTCGAATAGTGGTACCTCTGACTGAGTCCCCATACCTCAGACTCTTCGACCACTGACCTTGGCTAAGGCCGATGCTCTGTCTTATCACCAGCCCACGGCCACTGAGCTTTTTGGGGAGGTTGACTCGAAGTCGAAATGCCCCATGAGTGAGGTGGTTGCGACGGAGATGTATGGATTCATTGAGGATGCCAAAACGCGGCTCATTCCCGTTGAAGCAGATGTCAGAGACGCCAAACGGCGTATCAACAGTGCTAAGGGTGGCTCACGCAAAAGGAAGGCTGTTCAAAAAGAACAGGAAGACGATGATGACAGCGAAGGATCAGCGTAGAATGATATATATAACCTTTGATTTGTCTTAATAATCAGCTTAGACTTAATTATATAATACCGATTGGGAATCCCAACAACCCAGTTCAACGATATGATGATATCTACACCAATGAGCTTTGTTTCAACAGGGCTGATCCGGGATGATTCACCTATTTTTTTAGGCGTGGGTATTGCCAAGTCCAACGTTGGCAGAGAGATTTCCCATTGAATCTCAATCCATTTCAATCCTTTAGGAGGGATACAGAAAACAATAGACATGTTCTCCCTTAGGTTGGGTCGATAATTCTCTCTTTTTCCAACGTGAGTGACATGTTCAATTCAAGTCCTAGACACCTGTCAGAACCTCGCTTGGAAACCGGGCTGGCACAGTCTGGCACAATGTCCAACTGAGGCAGTGTTCAGCCTGCTGTGCGGGGAGGGTGTTGACAATTTAGGTCCAGTGCAATCTTTCGGGGTAAAAAGTTCAAATAATGAATTCAACAAGTGCAAATCACAGTCATCAATTACAGCATGTGAGACAACACAACTGGATTTGACCAATGGTTGCATTTGATTACATGTATACACTTTCAGTGGCTCAGGTCAGGTCCCAAATGGTTTTAGAAGAATTTCCACAAACATCGTAGGGACTGAAACTGAAATCTTAACAACCTTCCGTGAAATGGACTTCACTGAATTTGGGATTTCTGTTTGTTATGGTCTGGTATGGTTTTCATTTATTCATGTGAGTAATCAATGGTTCCGGTGGCAATGAGACATGGACATCGTGGAGGAATTCTTGGAATTGGGAAAACATGTATCTTGATCGACATTACTGTTGTTTTTTTGTTTGAATCTACAATAGCAAAATTCACCAAAACAAATTCACCACATCTTTACTCCCAACCAAGGTAAGTGTCACTACATTGGTTCAATTTTTGAGAGTTCTTCGGCGGAGGGTTCCAGGAAGGCATCTACCGACCCTTGGATTCCGATTCTTTGGGTAAAGTATATATATCTTGTGGACATGGTGATACCGGGTACTTCCCACGTATTCGATCCGTAAAAATGCCATACCGCCAAGGCGAAATTTACGTGACCTAGCTGGGATCGATGACTCCGACACCAAAAACATTGGGCGCAAATTTTGGTCGTGGCTGCATAGGCAACCCTGGAGAGCAATGCTACCCAAGCCCTACCAGTGGCATGATTCAAATTACTATTTGTCAAATGAATTTCAATCAGATTTTTTTTTAGGATGCCAAACGCTCAACTGATATCATGATCAACATTTCCAGTTGTTTGGCGCTCAGGGTGGAAGTGGTATTGGTTGATCCCAGCCGAGAAAATCCCAACTACATGGGCAACTGGCATGTATTTCTTCCTAGCGATGTGTCCCTTGTCTGTTTGCTTTCCTATCAAATGCATTTGTAAATTGACCATGGGATGAGTGATGATGATAACGGTTTCCCTGATTTTTGTTGAGGCTTCATGCGCAATATACCTATGACGAAACTTTCTTCAAGGAAAGATGGTTCGGACCTCCCGGTGTCTCTTGTTCATATTAGCTGGCTAGATGTAATTTATGTTTCACTTGTTGACCATAACAGGCAACATGGGTGTTATTATTTAGAGCAGTTTTACCTTAGGCTTTGGAGGAATTCTGGAATGCCCAAAGAGGCACACAATGGTTTCAAAGCCACCCTATCTTATCTCAGCCGGAATCTGGTCTGCAGGATTTTGTGCATGCGTGTTTGTAACACTGCCCCAGTATGGTGATCATGTGGTTTATGCTGTGCTATCCTGCAATGTGTTAAGGATGTTGATCTTTCAAGAATTATACCAGTTCAGTGGCACGGGGACGACGCAGATTCACACCGGCGTCGGAGTTTTTGTTGTTGCACCCTATCCAGTCCACTTGCAGCTCCGGGATCGGCGTGGGACAATAGGATTCTAGTCTATGTCACGGACAACTCACGTGTGTGCTCGGAGACGTTTGATACACTCGATGCCTGGATGTGCTGGGCCTTTTGTGAATTACAAGAAGGCTGTTTTTTTACAGTCAATCCGTTTGGGGAAGAGTTCAACAGGGGAAAAACAGGTCAAATCTGTGGCCAGTACCGGGCAGTGCTGTGTGCAATCAGAGGGGACCAAAAGTATCTTCAACGATGCTTGAAACTGAAAACAGCATGGAATTCAGAGCAGGTGTGCGCATTCTGCTGAGCAAGCAACGCTGGGGATCTGGTTTACACACGCTTTGGACCAGCCGCACCACACAGGCAGACTATGATATCCACCGAGCAGTTTATGGAATCACGATGCCACATGAACCCGTGGATACGCATCCCTGGTTTTCATATTGAATTGGTTTTGACAGACTGGCTACACATAGTCGACTTAGCAATAACACCAGAGGTTGCAGCATCAGTACTCTGGCTGAAAAACAGACCATCTTATCTTTTATTTTTCAACATTTAGATCAATAATCAAAACATTGTGTTTGTCCAATTCCTACCTCCTCCTGTCTTTGAGGCATTGGTCGAACTGACAGCAACACGTATGGTGTGGGACGCTGATAGTCAAGATGAGCGGTTGCGCTTGGCATATGTTCAGTTCAGCCGTGCATGCAAAGCTCATGGTGTAAGTGGCTGGGATTTAGGTTATTGCTGCAAAGTTGTTTGCAACAACATATTATGATTAAAGGGCTTTTGCGGCATTGTGCATGTTTAATGTGTTGCATTGGACAATACTTAGGAAATCGAGGCCAGGTATTCAGTGTGTGTCTAGCACTGCAATAATTTTGCCAGTGCAAAATTTGACAAGGACATTGCACTTAGAATTTCAACATGATGTGGGTCTGCTTCTTTACACCTAGGAAGCAGCTGTACCCCTTGGGCAAGAACAATTATCCCACCCTTGTCCAGAAGAATTTCAATGGGTCAGTGCCTACCATGCAAATATTCATATCACATGTCAGCAGTTTACAAACATCACACAAATGTAGCAACATCTTCTCCCTTTCCTACCTAGGAAGCCGCAGTGCTCGCGAAGTGGCTGAAAGGAGTTTGCTTGGCGGTGGCTGAGTTTACGGGTGAAGAGTATGACAAGCAACTTGGTGTGCATGGGTAATTATATGATATATGCACGTATGCTGACCAGTATAGGGTACCCAGCAAACTTTGTGTAGCATGGGGCTTGTGATCCCCATTGGGTGAGGCTGCGCGCGTCGCTCTTTGTCAACTTGGTGGCAATGCGATCTGCAATGAGCCGATTACGGAATAACCTGGTGACCCTCACAGACCAGAACCGGAGTGTGCTGTGCAGGGCGAATTATCTGTTTCATTGTGCACACAACAGTTTCTTTGACCAACAAGGTTACAAGTGTGTTGCTTTCTATCCTTTTAGATTTTAGATTCTGATGCTGCCTCGGGGTTTGTGTATTCTAAGGTTTGGCCCGATCAGCCATCGATGGGCAAGTCTTCTTATATAAGATCCGTCCAAAGCATCATCAGTTTCTGGGATGAACAAACTTCTATGGAACCCAATTTGAATTTATTCTTGTTTGCCTATTACCTGAGGCTAGACCACCTGTGCATAGACCAGAGCGGACGAATGAACCCGATGCAATCATCAACATATCAGGATGAAGATTTCGTTGGAAAATGCAAGCAGTTGGCCATACGAGCCAATGTCTCGTCGTTAGGTCTACACGTCTTAGAAAGATACAGCTCCTATGTTTGTTGTCGCTGGCTACGGGGCCAGACTGGTGGGTGATATGTGCCAGCTGCCCATGTTCAAACCCCAAAATATTTGGATGTAGTTTTCTCAACCCACTGGTTTTGCCCGAAGCTGCCGGGCCTAGCCTGACGATAGTCTGCTCCGAGCTCAAGAAGAAAGGCCACAGTGTCAGCGCAGCGGTGGCAGGAATCAGGTTTGGAGCGATCATTACATAATTAATGGGATTCATCAACTTCTCAAGTATATGATTACAAATAGTTGATTCAATGGTTTTTAGCACCAGAAGGGGTCCATGAAGATGTTCCAGAAAATGAAGTGCTAAGTGCCTACCAATGGACGTCACTTGTGGGGTTGAATTTTCAGAACTCAATGGACGTCACTTTGAGGGTCTTGGTATATATATATGTATGTTTGCATACATACCAGTATGATTCTCTATAATATATACATATATATATAATATAAAAAAGTATCCTAGTGTCCCAACGTGGGAAGCTCCCCTCGGCTGTGGACTCGGTCCGTCCGAGCCCCGTCATATTGCGAGACAACATATGATGACAGTTGTCCCTCAC